TAATAACTAATAATTGATACTTCGAAATAGGAAAAGGTCCAAAGGGGTAGGGGTGGTGGGAGGAGATGGGAAAAGGAAAGAATGGAAAGGAAAAATTATGAGAAAAGAAAAAAAATGGAAATGAAGTATGTAAATAGAGAAGGGTGGAGGGATGAAGGGCGCACAGGTAATGGGGAAAAAATAAGAACCAAGATACATCATGTACAGGAACAAGCACCCAATGATAAATGTAAACTTATTGTATACCTAAAATGTACCAATATAAGAATTTAAGCAAAAAAAATTATTGAAAGTATCTTAACAGTATCCTTTTTGCCTCTATAATCACTTTCTGTCCAACAGCAAGATTCAGAACTACAACGTCAAAGACCCAATCCCTGGAAAGTTTATCTACAGAATTTCCCAAATATTAATCTCCTCTTGATAATATATTTTATTTACTTTCTTAAATATTACTGGCATGCATGTTTTAAAACAATCTTTTCAGTTGATTTCCTTCAGCTTATTTATTTATCTTCTACTTAATATAAGTTTGTTCAGTATCACAAGGTCTACTTTACTATTATTTACTATTTATTAGGTGCCAAGTAAGCCTCTATTAAAAAATGCAATGGTTGTATTTCCTGTGAATTGATAATATGGTTGTTATCTGGTGATCAAGGCAGGTAGTACATTCAAGATAAAGTAGTAACTTTTTAGTGTGGCACGAAAGGTTCTGTGTGTTTGTTTCTAAGGTTGCATGGAACTGATACACTCCTATCAACACTAACAATAGAAGTTTAGCAATGGAAATCAATATAAACAAGTTCATTTGGGCTGCTGTTGTAAACTTGTCTTGGGTCCTGGTTCTTCAATAAATGGATAATCTCATAAATCTCATGGATAATTGTAATAAGATTTTTTTTGCCATGTCTTGAATGTAGACATAACTTGGGTGGTTGCTTTCCCTGTGAGCATTTTCTATTCATATACTCCAAGAGAGGTGATTCATTTTGACCAGTCTGTCACCATCACATACAAAGAACTCTCATGAGGTAGTTTTCTTTCAATCAACTGTGAAGGCACTGACCATTCTCCAGTACAACTTGGAACCTAATGCCTTTGAAATAAACCTAATCCTTAACTTCATCAGTAATGGGGAGACATATGTACCTTAACACGCATGGTATAAATCCTAAAAACTCCAGAAGAATTACTTGCTATTTAGTCTCAAAGACAATATAACAATGTTGTTTATGGGAAACTAAATTTTCACAGAATTTATTTTGGACCAAGACCTGTCATGATTTGGCTCCCATATATTATTTCAACTTATCTCTTAACTTCCATGATAGTATAATGACCTTAACTTGATAGTTACATAAAGAAAAACTTTAATCTTTATTTGTACAAATCACCAAATAATGTTTCATTTTAATTATATTTCATTTTGCCATATCCCAAAACATTTCTAAAGAGCATTAATGTGAGGATGAGACATAAACTGCATTCTTCCAATTGTATACAGGTCAAAATTAGTATTACCATATGTTATAGCTTGTCCAGGATAGTCTTGTTTTATACTTATTTTAGGATGCGAGAAAATTTACAAAACTGCTTAAAGAAATTATTTCACTACTTACTTAAACTGTCACTATTTAACATTGTCTTCCCTCATTTGCCTTTGTTAAAATATGAATTCAAGTACTTGCAAATGTCTATGGTGGGAAAAAAGCGATATTTTCTTAGTTTCTTTAGGCTATTAAACTATAACTAGTGAGGCAAATAAAGTACTTTAAAGATTCCTATGCCTGGTACTTTCAGCAAAAATAAAAGTGAAATGGCCTATAGACAATGGGAACAGGTAAATTTCTAAAAAGTAAAAATAATTTATTTTATTAACATATTGTAAATTAAATAAATAACATATATACATGTGTACATATATACATGTGTATATTGATTAGATTCCAATCTCTCATAATTATACTCTAGCTATGTTTCTACTCTTAAGTAATATGAGGGAAAAATCAGATATTCTGCACTTTTATTATGAGTATCTATTATATACCAGGTCACTCAAAATCTAGTGGTACAAAAAGTGAGCAACATTCCTGGAGTGACAGTTTAACGGGTAAGGTATCAAAACACCCAAATAAACATGTAGATAAGTAATGCAATATTAAGGAGAGACAATAGTTTTGTTTTTTAAAAATTATTTTTATTGGTACTTTTTAGATATACATAATGATCACATTCATCATAGGGAATTTGTACCTGTACATGATACATTTTGATCCTTCTTTTTTTCCCCATCCTCCTCCCTCCCTTCAACCCTTTTTTCTCTCCTTATTTACAAAAGATTTGTTTACATTTTTTCATCTATTCTGTTTCTTTTCCTTTCCCTTCCTTCCCTTTCCCCCTCCCCCCTCTGTTGTTCCCCTTCCCATTTGAACATTTTCTTCCTATTTCCCAATATCTATCATCCATTTTGGTCCTTATTTATGCTTTTGATTTCTCACATAGTAATTTTGAGGAACAACAAATCTATATCCTTACCAGAAATTATTTCTTCTTTTCTTTTAGGTTCACTACAATAGATTTCTGTTAATCTATTTTATGTTGAGTCTCCCTTATCTGAAATGTTTAGGACCAGAAGTGTTTTGAATTTTGCATTTAAAATTTTTTTGAAATATTCCTATGTATGTAAGTTGATATCATTTATGTGTGTGCATGGGAAATATAGACATGGACAGTAAGATGTGTCACAGCTGAAGAGGAATGGGAGGGTCCCTTTTCCCTTGAAGATAATGAATTAACTGTGTGTTGTGAGTCTGAGTTCTGACTGTGACTTGTCAAATGAAGTTGAGTGTGGAATTTTCCACTTTTAGCATTATGCTAGTGTTCAAAAGTTTCAGATTTTGTAGGATTAAGAATTAGAGACATTCTATTTGTACTTGCTATGAAAAAGAGTCTTAATAATTATATTTCCATCTAAAAAAAGTGTTCCTTCTACCATTTTCCAACTATATTCTTGATTATAGCTTCTCACTTAACCATCTGATCTAGTGCAGGAGTTCTCAGAAATTCATCAACTAATTTATGAAAATAGCAATTAGAAATGAACCAAGCAGCAATGAATATGGTAATCATAATTGTATCCTCATCATATTTTTTCTCATTCTGGAAAAATAGTTTCCTCACAAAAATCTCTCTAAAATGTGTACCATGTGCCTTTTTAGACTTATTTTCAACCAGAAGACATAATATTTCTGCAGTCTCTGCATTTTTGGTCCCACTCATATGCCACAATGGAGATGTTCTCTCACTCAGATCTTAGGAAGTCCATAACCTGGGTGACAGCCCAGGATCCTTTCTTCAGAGAGATGGGTAGATTCTGATGATGGAGGTTTGCTCTAGCTCTACAAGCTTCAATATTGTTTATGCTCAATCTTCTGAAATCTGAGATCATGGCAGTATTTTATACAATTATCCTTTCTGAGAAAGTTATGGGGAATTGAGACCTCTTAACCTGATGTTTTTTTGACCAAGTAGGCAAGGACAGATGGAAATAGAAATTCCAAGATTTCTTTGAATAAAAAAATAAGGAAAGAATATATGGAAATCTAGTGACCAATTCTTGAACACAGCATTGTACATTTCTCTAGAATTTATCTGTGATTGTTTAATTCAACCTTTCTCTTTTGTCAGAAGTCTCTTTTTGTCAGAAGTTATAGTTTGTATGAAAATGTTGCTTAATTTTAAGAATAAACCATAGCTCTTCAGTCATGTTTGCAGCAAAAGTGGTCCTATGGTAAAATTCAATGAACCTATAATAATAGATTTGATAACTGTCATAATAGATTTGATAGCCACCAGGTCATAGTTACAGTATAGGCCCAAAGAATTGGATAGGGATGAGGAGATGGTAGGCACAACCCAGCTATGTACATTTGCAAGAGTCATTACCATTACATCACATTCCAGAAACAGGACATAAAAATCACTTAGGACATTTCCCACTAGACCACCCAATACAGTACTGCCATTCCTATGGTATGTGTATGCACATATCCATATCCACATACATAAATTGTTTAATAAAAGTTGTAGGCTTAGTCCATGCATTATTTGAGGCCTTATACTATAATCTTGTTTCAAAAGTCCTAGGATTAATTTGAAAAATATTATAAATTACAAATATGGATGCAACTTTGTGATACAGACTAGATTTGAGAAAGTGTCAGCTGATCAGAGAAGAGTATAAAGTATACAAGGAATAGTTACTTTCTTCATTGTTGAGGCACAATACCCAACACCTGTAAGTTAAAGGAGGATAGGGTTATTTTGATTCACAGTTTGTAGAGGTTTCAGCCCATAGTAGTCTGACTCCAAGACAGGGTGGCATGGCAGAGGTAAAACAGTTCATGATATGAAGGTGAGAAGCAGTGAGTGATCAAGGGAGGAGGAGGAACATATACTCTTCCAGGTCATGCCCACAATGACCTACCTGTTCCCATCAGGCTTCACCTCCCAACATCACATCCAGCTATAAACCCATCAGTGGACTAATCCAATGAGTATCACACACCCATTATCCAGTCACCTCCCAAAAGCCTCAGAAGAGTATTAGGCTTTGGGGGGGACATCTAGATATAAACTATAACATTTTGCTTCAGGACCCAGAAGACTCACGTGTATCCCTTTATGAAAAATGTATTTTTAGTTCATCTCTAAGACTTGCCAAAGTCCTAACAGTTTCAACATTGCTGAAAAGTTCAAGTCCAAAGTTTCTTCTGAGATTTAAGGCAAACTCAGCTGTGAGCACCTGTAAAAATAAAAAGAAAGTTAAATACTTCCAACATACAATCATGCAGTATAAATATTCGGATTCCAAAAGGTAGAAATAGGGGAATAGAAAGGAATAGCACCAAAGCAAAACTGAAATACACCAGAGAAAATACTAAGTCCTGTAGTTCCATGTCCAGTACCCAAGGCAATCTGTGGCCAGATGTGAACTCCACAGAGCTTGAGTGGCACTGCATGTGGTTGTAGCCCTCATGACCTCTCTCTTCTCCCAGGCTTAGTCACTCCTTGTAGCTTTCCTCAGATGATCCACATTCCTGGCTTTTTCAATTTCCTGGGGTCTCCACTGCACCTTTGGTTTCACACTCACAGCTTCACACAGTGCCCTCTCAAGGGCACCCTGCCTGGCCTCCCAGGACCTCTGAAATCTGGTTGGAAGCCTCCTCAACCCCACAACTCTTGCATTCATAAAACCACCACATGTGGATGATATTTATGTCTGCCACTAGTTGGATCAGAACCCTTTTGTATCTTGCTGCTGGTTGCAGAGGCCTCTGAGTGAACTGAATTCTTGGGAATAAATTCCTATTCCCTAGGCTGCTGCTATTCTAGAACATGGTGCCCTTGGGCTCTCTTCTCAAAGCAAAGTCTTTCACCTTTGCAATCTTGAGCCTACAAAAGATGGGATTCTGCTGGTTCTTGTGATGCTTTCCAGCTATTTTTTCTATTGTCCTGTTCCAAAGTATTTGGCTTTTTTATGCTGATCTTTTCCACAATTAAATTCTCCTCTGCTCCATCTTTGCAGGCGACTTTACTGGAGCTTCCTTTTTGGCCAAACTTAAAACTTTAAAAATCATTCTGCTGGGCTATTTGCTCTTGATTCTGAAAGTAGTCCCAGCTAAAAGCACCAGTAGTAGCCATACTACTACCTCAACATTAGACTGCCTTGAAATTTCTTCCAACAGATTAATTAGTCCATTGCTTAATCTCAATTGCCTGCAATATCTCAGGACAGGAGCAAAATTTACACAAATTTTCTGCCAGAGCATAAGACACATGGCCTGGAGTCCAGCTACAAATGAATGTATCCTTGTTTCCAACTGAAACCTCTTGAGCATGGTCTTTACCAGCTGCATTTCTATGAGCATTTTGGTCTTTTGAGGTCTATCCAAAATCTTCCATCAAGCTTGGCTTACAGCCTTCTAGGAATGCTTCTTCAGCTGCCATCTCCAAACCTTTCTAAACTCTTTCTACAAGCCAGGTAGTGTCACAGGAATGACTCCATTTCTGGCACCAAAATCTTAGTTACTTTCTTCATTGCTGAGTCACAATATCTGATACCCTTAATGGAGGAAAGGTTTATTTTGGGTCATGGTTTATAGAACTTTCAGTTCATAGTCAACTGGCTCCAAGGCAGGGTGGCAAGGCAGAGGGACATGGCAGAGGAGAAACAATTCATGACATGATGGCAAGAAGCAGTGAGGAATCAAGAGAAGAAAAGGGATAGATATATACCCTTCCAGGCCACATCCACAGTGATCCAGCTGTTCCCACTAGGCATTGTCTCCCAACATCACACCAAGCTATAAACCGATCAGTGGACTAATCCAGTGATGAATTTAACATTTAGCTATAAACCTATTAGTGGACTAATCCACTGATGAGTATCTCATACCCATGATCCAGTCACCACCCAGAAGCCCCACATACGCACACAGGAGGCTTTGGAGGAACATCTAGATATTAATCATAACAATAGGGGAGCAGGATAGCTTCTGCTTTAGCTGAAGTACCGTGCTCATACTACTACCTCTCTGTGGTCCCAAGTTTTTAATCCCTGCATCATCTTGCCATTTTGCCCCAGGTGACATAAGCAACCCTAAATGAATGGTTCTGAACTTAGTTGCTAGTGGTATGATTGCCTAGATATCCTAGAAGCCTTCAAGGTTTTCATCTGCAATCATTTAAATCTGCTAGAGAAAAAAAGAAATAAATAACTTTAAGTCCAAAGCTAAGACAAAAAGAAACTATGAAATCTTTAAAGCTCAAAAATGCAGCAAGGGCACCAGTCCAGAAAGGGAACCACTACTAAAGTGTGCTGCCACCCCAAGATCATGTGTGTGATGTAGTTAGAAACAACAATAGGGACAAAGGACAAAAAATACCTGGGGCCTTAATCTTTTACTTATTATTATTATTTTATGGTACTGGGAATTGAACTCAGGGACACTTTACCACTGAGCTACATCCCCAGTCCTTTTTAATTTATTTTGAAGTAGGATATTGTTAGGTTGCTCAAACTGGCCTTGAACTTGTGATCCTCCTGCCTCAGCCTCCCAAGTAGCTAGAATGTGGCACTCATTAAAAGTGTGATTTATATTTTCTTCCAAGGAAATTAGAGGCTTAAAAGAAAATGTTGCTGAGCTGTGACTTTTCACTTAGGCCTATGGATGTTCAATAAGGAATTAAAGGCCGAACAGAGCTTGACCTTCATTTTCATATCCTTTATTATTTTAAAACTTTGGATATAGGTACATTACTCTTTTAAGAAAAGTCAGGAAAACAAAGTTGATGGCCCTAAAGTTGCCTGACTTATCTCCCTCAGGATTGAGGACACCAAGATAAGAGTACCTACAGTAATTTTCATGATTTAGAGGGACATCTAATTACCAGACTTTACAATGTCTAGTTCCAGATCCCCTTAGGAAGCAATGCTCGGAAGCTGGAGGCTTCCTGGAGGGCATTGTCCTAAACCTGTAGTTATCTGGATCTCAGGAAAAGCAGAGTCTTACATGACGATCATTTCCTGGGAATGCAATCATCCTTCAAGCCACGAGGATTCCTCCAGAGGTAGGAAACCGGGACTAATCTTTGCAGATGGCCAGCCTGACCTTTCCTCAGACTGCCTTCGTCAGCTGTTCAAGCTGGAATCCTTTGCTGTTTTTCTCTTGCTCTCCTTTGTTAAGGGCTGCCTGATCCTTGTCATCTCCTCAAGCTAAAGTTTCTCACGATTTTCCTCTTTCCACTGAAAGATTTTTGGTATAAATTTGTGTTTTAGTTTAGTTTTAATTTCTATTACCACTAAAAGGAAAGATCCATGCTGGCCTGTGACATGTGTATCTGTAACCAATAACCTTAGGAGACAAAGCCAGGGGACAGGGCATGTGAGAAAACACATTATTCCTCCTCTTGATGTCTCAGAAGGAACCCAGCTTTTCTTTCACTAATTGAGTAAATAGATCGGTCAACACAACAACTAGACTTTTATCTGATAAATCTGAAACATAGATTTGGTGGGAATGGGAATTCATAGCTTCAGATACTTTTCTCTATATTGCTTCTTCTTGAGCATAATATAAGTATGACAATGACTGGAAAGGGCCTTCAAGGACCCAGGCTGCCCACAGTTTCACAGGTAATTTGAAATTTTGAAATCTTTGATGAAGATTACTGTTTAATTTTTAATTAGTGTGTGTGCAATACATCATAATACATACATTTTTGGGAATTGGCATATCAATACAGCATATCTTGACATTTTTAATCTCTTTACTTCTCTTCCCTCCTCCCTTGTTTAACTTTTTAAGTGTTAAATATTTGAATGTTTGGATTTAAATCAGAAGTAGAAAATCAAATAGCACATGAGACTACCAGCACATTACGTTCCCGACAAGCCTGGAGGGAGTATGTCACCGACCATAACTTTGGAGCTCTGGGAAACAATGTTCCTGGGCCACGTTCCTGGTGTCATCTGCTCCAAAGGTGCTTCCCAGGATTGGTCTGGGGTCTATATCCATGATTGCTCCCTGGTCCTCATCTGACAGGTATGGGTATTTCTTCATCCCTTCTTGAGGTCTATGACTTCTGGGACTCATCCAGGACCCCTGAGTGAAGGGGAGGTTGATATCTTTACTAACAAAGAAAAAAAATTTAAACATTGATTTCCATTGTGCTTGGATTTAAATGAGTCTGTCCATTTTGTATGGGAGTTTCAAATCAGTGATTTCTTAATATCTTGTATTTTAAAGAAACATGGAGATTATCTAGCAGAATAATATGGAAGAGAGAAGAAATGGAGACAGGTGGCAAAATATCTGGTTCAATACAAGAAAGAAGATTAAAATATCCAGAATCTATGAAAGGTTGATCTTTTCCGGCAGCTCACTTAGATTTCATCTTCCCACCTTACTCAGTTCCGTATGTGGAAAATAAAATAGTACTCTCTCATCTGTGGAGGATTCACTCCAAGATCCCTAATAAATATCTGAATCTGCTGGATACCGAACCATACACACGAGCACTGCAATACCGAAACAGTCAATGTTCCAACAAAGATGGTCAAGTAGTCTATGCAGCCTGGATATGTGAGACAAGGCGCATCTCCAGTGGATGGAGTGCAGGATGAGAGGCAGTTTAAAACTGATGAGTTGTTTATTTCTGGAATTTTCTCCTTGATAGTTTCAGAGTGTGATTAACCACAAGGAACTGAAGCCACAGAAAGTGAAACAGCACATAAGGGGGGACTTTTGTTTTCTCTCATTTCATTAGTCCTTCACATTATTTATTTTTATTTGTTTTTCCTTAGTCTGATCTGTGAGGGTTCACCTTACTTGCATCCATTCAATTGGCTTAAGACACAGTCAGAGGATTAGTAGAGCACATTGCTGGGAGTGTCTGGGTGAGTCACAGCAGCATGACCTTGGGTACTATATATGGATGGTCCCAGCACCCCCACCCCCCACCCCTCGGCCCTCCCTCTCTGGCACTGTTCCCCTGCTCTGCTGCTCTGGCATGAACTAAGCATCTTGCTGCAGCATGCCCTTCCACTAGGAGCCCACAGACCATATACTGAATTCCCTTAAAATGTGAGCTGAATTAAACCTCTCTTCCTTTAAACTGTGGGTGTTGGCGTTGTGTCCCAGTGTTGGAAACCTGGCTAATACATGGTCAAAAACAGAAATTCTTCAAAGAATTATGTCTTCAAAGGATTAGGGGCATCAACATACAGATTTTCATTATTAAAAAAAGATGAAAAGGAAAACAATTAAGACAGTGTTTCTCCACTGTCTTTTCATCTTTTCATTTTTTAACCTTCCTCAGTAGCCATTTTAGAAATTTTCTTCCTCTTTATCATTTTCCCCCAAGAAATTTTAATGTCACAGATATTCTATATATTTATGTCCTGTGACCTTTTGGAGAGCCATAAACCATTGTAATATCTAAACATTTTTTCATTCTCAGAGATATAATTTTGCCTACAGAGCATAGTATCCCATTGATAAAGGGATAATGAGACTGGTTAAGCAACTATCTGCTTTTAATTTCATCATAATTAATGAGGAACAGTAAAAAACAATAGTCAATTTATATCACTTTCCTATAGAGAATTATACTTTCTCTGATATTCTATCAAAAGTATTCAATTTCTTTGAATGTCCTTTTTCTCACATGTAAAATGAAGCTAAGGTCAAATAATTAGCAAGCAAATAAGCATAACTGAAAACATTTTATCTATCTCCTTCACAAGGTTGTTGTGAAAGTAACTTTTCCTGAGATGTTATTTTATCAAGTCAGGACTCACCACAAGCTTGCCTTTCATCTCTTTCCTCATGAAACCAGGGTCTTGGTATCATCAACACAGAACCTCCAGTGTTTCCTCAGTAGTAATGAGAATGAGGCAACGTGCTCTGATGTTTTAGTTAAGCAAGTAAATAAATTTCTTTAGTGGGAACTTTCTCTAGTGATAAAGAAGGAGAATTTACGCTTAAGGAGGAAAAAGTCTCTAAGGGACATCTCGTAATATTTTATAAAATCTAAAAACAATACCAAATATGGTTTGATGCCAATGCATTATTTACAAACAAGGGCTGGACCACTTAGTTCATTGTTTTCCTGTAAAGAAACTAGTTATCTTTAGGTAAACTAAAATTTTAAGGTAAACTTATTTGTAACTCCTGTTTTTAAGTCCAACATCTGTATGTTGGTCAGATAAAATGCATTTTATTTTCACCTTTCAACAAATTCTAAAATACACAATTAGTTAAAAATGATACTACATCTAACCTTTACTGAGCACACAGTATATGTCAGGCCCTAGGTGAGGTGTGTTACAGTTGTAGTTTACAATCCACAAATGACATGCTCTATCAGTTATCTATTGTAGGAACAGTTACTTTATTTTCAGCAGCACACCTCCCCCCATCAGCTATTTCATTTGCCATGGTTTCAGTTACCCTCAGTCAACCGTGGTCTCAAAATATTAAAGGGAAAACTCCAGAAAGAAACAATTCATAAGTTTTAAACTGTGTGCCATTCTGAGTAGCATGAAATATCAAGCCCTCCTGCTCCATCCCTTCCAGAACATGAATCACCCCTTTGTCCAGCATATCCACGCTGAGTACACCTTCCAACCACCCAACTGTCATGTAATAGCTGTCTTGATTATCAAATCTACTGTTCTGTTATCGCAGAGCTTGTGTTCCAGTAACCCTTATTTTACCTAATAATGACCATACACACACACACACACACTCACACGTGTGTGTGTGTATGTGTGTGTGCACTAAGGTTGCTAAGATATATAATTTATAGTAAGAATAATCTTCTCATAAAATTAGAAGAAAACAAAATTTGTGGTAGTTTTGCTATTGCACCTCCAGCTGCAGATGTTATTGCCACTGTGCAGAATGCTGCTTAAAACAGTATATACAGGGTCACTACAATGGATCTGTGGTTTCAGACATTTCCTGAAACACATTCCCAGTGGATAAGGAAGAACCTTTAAACTCTAAATTCTGTGGGTCAGCACTTTGATCTAAGCTCATCTGGACAGTTCTGCTGATCTTGTTTGGGGTTGCTCATGTGGCCTCAGTCCAAGGATGTGTTGGTTAGAAGCTAGCTGGCCTAGGATGGCTCATCTCTGCTCCACAGGGTCATAGTCTCCAGCAGGTCATCCTGGGCTAGGTCTCCTGGTTGCAGCATTCCAAGAGGCCAAGGGTGGAAAGCCACATGGCTTCCTGAGCCTGAGGCTCACAGCTCTCTATTCACCTCCACTTCAGTACACTGGGCAAAGCCCATCACAAAGCTATCCAAAGTGCTCATCTTGGAAGAGCTGCCAAGAATCTGGTGATTTTTTAATCTATCACACACACTTCTACTGATGAGTGACCAAGTCTCAAAGGGCTTTAATAATATGTCTGAGATCTCCTGGACAGCAAAACAGTAGCAGGCAAGGGTGCTCTGCATTTAGATGTTTCCAATTCCAAAGTCCATGTTCTTTTAACAGCATTACATTCAATTACACTTCACACACCTCTGAATTTCTTGTGAGCTCAATTGGGTCCCAACACCCAACTATATTCAACTCAACTATATTCAAGTCCTAACCCCCGGTACCTCAGAATCTAACTGTATTTGGACATAAAGTCTTTAAAGTGAAAATTGAGTCTGCTTGGTTCCCCAGCATGACTGGTGTCACTGTAAGAAGAGATTAGGGCACAGACAGCACACAGAGGGAAGAGCATGTGAAGACAGAGGGAGAGGGCAGCCACCCAGAAGCCAGTCAACCCTGCTGACATGCTGGTCTCTGGTTTCTAGCTTGCAGAATTGTGACAAAATAAATTTCTGTTATTTCAGGGGTCTAGTCTGTGGTACTATGTTATGGAAATCCTAGCAAACTCATAATATAGCATGTTAAACAGATTGGTTCATTTGGAGTCCATTAACACCTTTATAGGGCTGGAAATTAAATATTATTGTTACTCTTACTTAAAAATGATTTTACATATTTGGAGACTGTGTATACCCTCAGATGGGATGGAAGAAAGAAAGGCAGATAGAAAGGAGACAAGAAAAATTGTTATTTTCAAATTGTACCTTTATAAATGCTTCAGCTTCAGGACACAAAGTTACCCAAAGTTACAAGGCGTTTTGATTTTTTCCTTCCCAGAAGATTTCTAAGAGTCTTCCCAGAAATTCTTAAGAGTCTTATAGACACAATGAGCCTATAAATTGGGCCTATGCTTTTCCTCTGATTCTGTAGATCCACAAATTCCACAGGCCTTACCCCTCAAGGAAGCAGAACTGGTGAGTACCGTATCTCTAGACTTCAAACCTGTGAAAATGGTTTGCGTTCTAACCAAGCTCGCTAACAGATAATCTGACAAATACTAGGAATGTACCTTCTAGATCATTTGTCTTGTGGACACCCACAAGACCATACCAGTAGTACCTCAGACTTTAATATACCTGTCTTGAGTGGCCACACTTTTATTTTCTAAGTGTGTACTTCATTAGCTCGGCCTAATAAATCTGTCTATGCTTCTTCTTTCTGCTTAACAAATCTGCTCATGCCTCTCACTGACATGTCCCGAAATGCTTTTCTGTGACATAGCTTGGGTGATTCTACTAGCTACTTCATGGGTGGGTGAGTCGAGGTCTCCATCTGTTCTTTGAGAGGGACCTTCTTGGACCCTGTCCTGTGACATACCTCACTCAGGAGGGCTCTCTGGTAGTGGGGCCCCAATAGAAACCAGGTCCTGTGGCTCTTGGTGCTAAATCAAGACCCATAACTCATCTCTAAGCCTTCTCTTAAGGATGTGCCTGTTCTATTTTGTAAACTCCTTACTAGACAGCAAAGCTGATTTGTTATTTACTTTGAGGCATCTCCTAGCATACATTTTTTTTTTTTGCTTTTACCTCTTTTATTTTTTCTCCACTCCATAGCTACTAAATCAGAATCTGCATTTTAGCAAATTCCTCCAGGTGGTTTGTGAACATACTAAAGTTGTTCTACTGAACCCTATAAAAAATCTGTGATATTTTATTCAATTTGACCTCTACATATGGCCTGAGAATATTCTTGCTTTATAAGGGATCATAAATCTAAAACACAGAACTAAAAATGTAGACATAAAAAGCTAGAAAGAGTTTGGCTTTAACTACTCTAATCTAGAAGAAAGAAATCAGGTAAGACCTACAGGCCAAAGTATTAAAGAGAAAAGAATGACAATAAAAATAAAAGTCAGCCTGTCAGGGTGGCACACACCTATAATCCCAGCTACTCAGGAGGCGGAAGCAGGATGATCATAAATGCAAGGCCAGCCTGGGCCGTTTAGTGAGGACTGTATCAAAATAAAAGTGAAAGGGATGGGGACATATTTCAGTGGTAGATCACTTACCTAGCATGCAGAAGGCTCAGTGTTCAATTCTCTGTACTGAAAAAAGAATAAAGGAAAGAAGGAAAGAAGGAAGGAAGGAAAGAAGGAAGGAAGGAAGGAAAGAAGGAAGGAAGAGAAGAAGGTCATGCCTATGCTAGGAGCCACAATCTCTCTTATCTTATATCCGATCAATTGGGCAGGACATGGTGCAAGCTTTGACATTTCCAACCCTGGCCCACTCCCCACCCACAACCTTCCTATAGTTAGGGAATTTTTGTTGAATGAAGCATATAGTTAAAGCATTTTTTATGTTGGATATAAGAGAAGCTTTTGCTTGTTGAATGTGTCCATGCCTAGGTTTTCTTAAAGATTCTTTTATTGATGATGTGACTGAAATCATGAAAAGAGTGTTCTCATGTTTGCCAAGAACACAAATCTGGTGGGAAAGTGTGCGGCACTGATTGCTAATTGTCCCCTATAACCTATTTTTGCCATCTTAATAATGAAATTATTCTCTTTAACCTGGCTCACAGCTGCCCAGAATGGAAGTCGAAACTTTTGGCCTCCCTTGCATCTCAATGTGGCCGTTCTAACTAATGGTATATAGATCAACAAATTTTATGGAAATGAAACTTGGGATGTTACCCTAAATGGGTTGGAGACAACCTTATTCTCTCTTTCTGGCTCTCTGGTGGCTGAAAAATGGATGTGACAGCTTGCTAGCCTTCATCTTAGACTACAAAGGATAGAAGTCTTTAGGATGATAGAATCTAGTTGAAGGGACTAGGTCGCTGAAGATCATAGGGTGACAACTCCAGTACCGAAGTGTTATCTCTGGTCTTTGGTCACAAAAGGTTGAAATAAATTTCTATTTTCTTTAAGTGATGTTATCTTGTGTTATCTTATTTACAACCAATTCTAATTCTAGGTAATCCAGAAGACTTGCTTATATAGTAAGTGAGGAAGCAAGATTGAAAAGCTCTTGACATACTGTGATAATGGTCTAAACTGTTATGAAATACAATTAATTAAAATGCAAATGTCAATATTTTTCTTTACATATATTTCCCAACATAGAGCTGAAGAGAACAAGCTAAACAATAGTTCATGGACAAATGACTTGTGTACGTGGGGAGGGGAGATTTGGCAGACCAGACATCACATGGATGAACAGTGTAATGATGCTGGTTAAGGCTACCTCAGTGTCAGGCTAAGTTAAACTGTACTCAGTACTCTCAAATCTCTGTGTTGGCTTAGCAGATCAGAGCATTGTGTTCGTTCCTGTCTTTGAAGGGACAGTGAAAACTAGAGAGTGTTTAAAGAGCAAACAGGAAAGAAGGTTGGCAACCACATCAAGGAAAGGGGCTGTGAAATATTTGCCTGGAGAGAGGAGGAGGTAGAGGATACAACACTGTTACCCTTAGGTAAGTCTGATTGCTTATCACGTCCCCCACCCCAGAGGTCATAGTGAATGAAAGGTACTGAAGCAAACTTCTGCTCTGTGTAAGGAATAATTTCTAAACACTGAGTGGTATCCCAAGTGAGAAGGACATGTTGATCCTGACCATCATCAAATCATCCCCACTGCTCACTTTATGTAGCATGTCCCATGCTCATTTAATCCTTACAGACCTGTGAGGCTGACTCTGGTTTAATCTCTGTTTTAAAAACTTGGAAGTTGAGTCTTAGAAAAGTTTAGTAACCTACTCAATGTCATTTGGCTGGGAAAAGGCAGAGCCAGGCTTTGATGGATGCCACGTTACTTTTCCATATTGTTCTTCCCTGGAGATGGTCAGCCATGAGCTGGGGACAGAGTGGACATCAGCTTATGGTGCTATCAAACAGATTCCCAATTAGGCCACATCAGAACAGTTCCCCTTTTCTTTTTTGGATGCATTTTGCTAACTCCAGTCAGAGTAATGGCAATCTCTGTGTCTGTCTGGCAAGAGGGGTTGCTAAGACCAAGGAGGTAAAAAGAAAAAAATCACAAAACAAGCAGAGAAATGGACCAGGACATCTAAATTTAAATCTTGAATCCTCTATTTCCCAGTTGTAGGATTTAGGACAGGACATATAACCTGTTTGAAACTCCATTTCTTTATGAGTAAAATCCAAATAATTATATCCAACTTGCAAGATTGTAAGGGCTAAAAATAAAGTAACTAGCTCAGGATCTTAGATGCTCAAAGCTGGTAGTTAATTATTGCTAACATCTGGCTCAGGCATGAACCAAGGTAGGCATTAGGCTGTAGCTTAGTGGTTGGGAATACTCAGACACTGAAGTTCCTCTGAGATTTAAAGGAGATATATTTAATTTTGAATTTTTTTCATTTAGAATTTCATTTAGAGAATGTCTTATTTTTTATAATTTTATAATGCCTTATTCAGTACTTGTCTAGAATTTTAGGACCATATGCTTTTGGGTGAAATGTATTTTAGAGACTGAGAAATCTCCATAAGCTCACGCAAATTAGGGTTCTGAATGTGCTTTAGGTTTTGCCTATTAGATACACTCATTCAAGACTAAAAGAGTGAAAACAAATGAGAATAGAAATATAGAAGAGGTGCTGCATGTGTTGGGGAAATATAATTGCAAACAAAATCTCCTGCCAACTCTGAAAACCTCTCCAGAAAGATAAAAGAGAAAAACAGTTTGATTATGGCATAAGCATAAACCAAAATGTGATGTGCATTGTAAACACTCTGCCAAGGAGATTGCAAAGGCAGAAAGAATCTCAACCTTCTGTACAGCCAAGTAGATGTAGCCCGTTCCATACATGTTCCCACGGCAAACAACTTGTGTGCAAGTAAGAGGACTTGACAGCACCATTTATCACACACAATTGATTCTGAACTCACCTGGAGGTGGGGGTTGACACCTATGTTTGCTCATTGCTTGTAGCCAAAGGAAAAACAAATTTCTCATATCTTCATGACAGAAGGTAGGGCTGCAACTTGAGAATGAGCTCTAGCTGAGGTTAGGCTCCTACCCTCCCATACCATGGGAGATAGAGGAGCAGTCCTTCCTCATGGTTACACTTCAGAGTTGGTTTCCCAATCTTTGAGGAAATATTTCTGGGTAATACAATTGGCAAGAGTCTTATTTAGCTTTTAAAATTACACACATTTCAAAGAGGCAGAGAAATTATGTTTTCAAAAATAAAGCATCTAAGGAAAGAGAGGAAGAGGAGTCACTTAACTTTTTCTTTTTAGAATAGGAAATATTAAACCTTTTCTTTTCTTGCTTTAAAGTTGCATTTGCCCTTATACAAGTCACTATTTTTTTCTTGACACTGTATGGTCCAGAACCCAACAACCCAGAATTTTAATACTATATGTAAGCTTCAAATTAGCACATTGTATTACTTACCATGTTAGTCAGCTTTCCACTACTATAACAAAAGACTTGAGACAGTCAACTTATGAAAGAAAAAATGGTTATGTTGGTTCACAGTTTTGAAGGTTTCAGTTCATGATCAGCGGGTCTCATTGCTTTAGGCCTATGATAACAGAGCATGGCACGAGGGGAGCCCATGGCAAAGCATAACTACTCACCTCCTAAGCACAAAGCAAAACAGAGTGAGGAGGGAGCTGAGGTCACAAAGTCCCTTCAAGAGTCTGGTCCCAGTGACCTAAAGATCCCTTACTAACCCCTATTTTGTAAAGGTTTCACCTGTTCCCAAAAGCATCACCCTGGGGAACACAACTTTAACACATAGAACTTTGAGGAATATTTAATATCCAAACCAAAGCACTTAATTGTTCTATAAACATGGAGTTCTATATAAGAAGTATGTGAAAAACTCCTTAGTTGTACTCTTGGTCACCTACAGTTGTGAAGATTCAGATATATGTATTTATTTTGAGAGGGACATTACATTATTTTGAGCTTGTTTAGGATGCAGTTTTTCCCTTTAGATACTTGAATGTAAAATAATAAATAATGATGTGATTTTTCTTCTTTGTGTGTACATGTCTAGAGTTAAGGGAATGTAAATTAAAACATAAAAAGTGAGCACTAAGCCCCACTAGAATAATGAGAATTTTAAATAACTGATAATTCCAAGTGTTAATAAGAACTCCGAGTATTGCTAATGAGCCACAATCTCTTTGAAAAAATTTGTTTTGCATATTCACACTCTATGATAGTTACAATCCTAGGCAGCTATCCAACAGAAATAGATATGTTTGCCAAAAGATATTTAAGAATTTTCAAGACAATATCATTTGTAAGAGCATGAAATGGAAACATTTCAAACTTCTGTAAAGAGGTAAATGAATAAGCAAATTGTGGTACATTTATACAATGGAATAACATGGTAATAAAGGAAATGCTTCCATACTCAACAACCTGGGTGAATGTCACAAACATAATGTTGAGCTATAGAAACCACATACAAAATGACACATTGTTTCTAATTCCATTTATAAAATGTTAATAAATAGGAAAAATTTTTTGGTGATGTGAAAATTCAGGGCAGTTGTTATCTTTTGTGAGATGGAAGGGAATGTCTTGGGAGGAACACATGGAAGGTTCTGGCACTTCCAGGTAATGTTCAGTTTCTTGATCTAGTTGCTGTTTTGTCTGTGTGTTCTTTTCATCATAATTCTATAAAATGAAATTTTACAAGAGTATAATTCAACAAAAATGTTTATTAAAAACACAAAGCTTTTAAGGTCTGAACAAAAGATCCTACAGGCATGGCTTTTGGGGTTATTATTGTACAATCTGATGTAGGTGGGCTCATGAGTTTAATTGTAACACATACAGGTATTGTTCCTCTTAAGAAAATCCAAAACAAAGATATACATTTCTAAAACAAGGAGTTCATTAAGAATTATTTACAAAGAGCTGAGAGCATCCTTTGAGGGATACTTCTCTGTGCATTAAAATATGATTTTCAAATATTGTATTCCAATAGGAAGAAATGTATTATGTAATTTAAAAAGTGAATTAAGTATTCTTTTTCACTTCACCTTTATATTTCTTTCTCTTTACTTGTTTTTCTTATGAGACTCTTCTGAAGTATCACCACCATCTTTAGTATCATCATCATTATCCCATTGCAACTGCATCATACTTAACAGTAACAAAGAGCTTTTTTCAATTATTTCAAAAGTTTCATACATAAAGAATGCAGTGTTTAACTGGAATAATTTTGGCCTAAACCTGCCTCTGTACTTGTGTCATAAAGTTTGGCTCTCAAAGGAGTCTCTTTACTATGAATTGAAAACTAGCTTTTGCTGTATAAATTGTAACCTAATGAGTCTCAGCCAATCATAGCAGCTGAACCTTTAGCCAATCAGAGGTTGAAATCTGCCCAAACATGACCATATGAGGCAAATGCCCACTGCAGCCAATCAAGATGTTTCTGAGGCTCACTTCCTTTTCTTTTCTTTTCTTTTTTTTTTTGTTTTGTTTTTTGGTACCGGGGATTGAACTCAGGTCCTTGTGCTTGCAAGGCAGGCAGCGGAACCACTGAGCTAAATCCCCGGCTCACTTCCTTTTCTTTGGCTATAAATATAACCTGCATATGTAAGGGGGTGGGTGGTATGTGGAATTTTGGACCATCTTTGGTCTGGAATACTATCTAATTTTAGAACCTTTTTTTCTTGTTCAATTTTGTTAAATTTAAATAGTCTCAGGTTTTTCCTTTGAGAGCTTATATTAGTTTCACATTCTGCATAAAAAAACAGGCTTGAAGTGGCTAAGATTTTCCTAATAGCTCACTGCACATATGAGGTGAAGCTGAACCCTAGTACAGCATTCCCTCTGCGGTAGTCCTTGAATCTGTGAGGTTTCTTGGTTGCAAACCACAAAAAACAGCTCTAGTTATCATTGGGCAAATGAGAGATAGAAAAGAAAAAAATGAGAAGAGAAAGTACAAGGAAAATAGGGGGGAAGGAGGAAAGGCAGAAAGAGGAAACAAAACAAGATTTATTAGAAAAATATCAGGGGTTAGGGAGTCCATCTTGGAAAACTGGCAGTTACCAGGCAGCTCAGCTACAGGCAACATCAGAAGGTTGGCAGCAAGAACTGTGATGCAGAACAGTCTGGTCTTCAGCATGATTCCAAAATCCAAAAGGATTTATTTCCTTGTTCAGAATTCAATATCCTGGAAAGGGGTCTAGTTGGCTGAGTTTTAATTTCTTATCTACTCCTTGACTATACTAGCAGGCTGGAAAGACGAGTCTCTTCATTCCTAGGCAAAGGTAGTCAGAATTAGGGAATTCCTTGAGATATTAGAACTAGGAACTTCTCCCAAAAGGAGAATTTGAGCACTAGGTTTTTTTGTTGTTGTTGTTTTTGTTTTTTGAAATAGTGTCTCACTATGTAGCCCAGGCTGGCCTCAAACTTGCAGTGATCCTCCTGTCTCAGCCTCCTGAGTGCTGAGATCACAGGTGTGCACCACCACGCCCGGCTCTGGGCACTAATTTTGTGAGGTGTGGGATCCTGGAGAGCCAAAAACCTGCCAATCCTCTTCTATAATACTGGTCCTTTTACTGGAGAAAAAACCAAATAGATGACTCATGTTAGCAGCTGGTTTCAGGGCTGGTGTAGGAGGGACACTGTAGTTAACTTCAGACTTGGCACACATTCAAGGTTGAGCCCCCAGTGGCTCCTGGTCTCTCTGCAGCCATGCTGGAAGCAGGGAGCTGTGCTGCTGTAAACAGGCACCCACACTTGCTTTCTAGTCTAAATTAATTCTCAGTCTTAACCAATAGAATACAAAACAAGAGTGCATAGCAATCATTCCAAAGTTTCAAAAGACTAGAACAAACAAAACAGCCAGAAGGAAAAAGCCAATGGATATCAGAGAGAGGAGGAAACAGCACTCAACAATGAATGAAGTGGCAACCTGAGAAGTCAAGAGCTGCCCGTGAAGCAGCTGAAATAGTTTAGAAAAATAAGTGAAATATTAAGAGTCTATTAGTTTGCTGGGTCAGGGATGTAGTTCAGCGGTGCTGCGCCTGCCTGGCAAGTGTAAGGTCCTGAGTTCCATCCCCAGTACGAGAAAAAAGAAAAGAAAAGAGTGTATTAGTTTGCTAAAACTTCCATAACAAAGGGCCATATACTGGTTGCCTTAAGTAACAGGTACAGTATTTATTGTCACAAAATTCTGGAGGCTAGAAGTCTGAGGTCAGGGTGTCAGCTGGGTAGGATTCAGAGGAGTGTGAGGCAGAGCCTGCTCCAGGCCTCTCTCCCAACTTCTGGGAGTTTTCTGGCAATTGGTGTCCCTTAACTCACGGATGCATCATTCCAGTCTCCATCCTTGTGCTCACACAGCGTTTTGTCTCCGTGTGTATCTACCTCTGCATCCAAAATTCCCCTTTATATAAATGTACACATCATACTGGATTAAGGCCTAATTCTGCTGATTCCATTTTAACTTGATTGCTTCTGTCAAGATCCTAGTTCCAAATAAGGCCATATTCTGAAGTACTGGGGGTTAAGGTTGAAATACACATTTTTGGAGTATGTAGTTCAACCCTTAATAGGGAAGATGCTTATTAATCAAGAGTAATACTTTGTAATATCTTTTTCTGGGACCAAAAGACATGCTCAGCATGTTTCATATATAGAAATGGCTTGATTTGCAAAAAGGGGAATGATTTTCCCAGGCTCAAATGACAATGTCAAGGCTGCTGATTTTATGTTCTGTGGTTCTGACCCCCAAAATTCTGCTGTGCTTCTGATTTTGTGTGGACCGCAAAGTTTGAAGCCCTTCCTAATGTCATATGGTATTCAACACCTTAGTTTTATTGAGACTTTTCATGTCCTTCATTTGAATCTTAGTTTTCCAAAACTTTTTAAGGATTTTGCTATTATCAATAATTTTTTAGTGCTTAAATATGATATTCCTAGTAGGAGGTATTATAGGTTTGGAATTTAATAATGACTAGCATTTATCAAACAAATATGAGTCAGTGAAATAGAAAAAAAGAATGAGGCCCTTCCCTTTTCCCTTTTCCCTTGACAGGTGGTGGGGGTGGGACCTGACTGACAGCTTCATGCCCATCCCCCTGTCTGGGAAGGGTGACCTAGGGTGACCCTCCCTCGCAGCCACCTGGCTTGGGTGGCCACCCTCTAGGCCATGCTGGCTCTCACAGCCCTGACAGGAGCCATGATTTGGCTGACAGCTTTGATGCCTCTTGGCCACCCTGGGCAGATACAGGTCCTGCCACTGTGTCCCTGAGGAGTGGCTGGAAAATGGTGCTCGACAGACCAAAGACCAGGGAGCGATGGTGCCCATTGCTAATATTCTCCAAATTCCCAAGCCCCAAATGAGCTATAATCATCACAGCTGGCTGTCCTGGAGACTCCGTGAAAGTGGCTACAGTGGTGATTTCAGTCCTGTCATTTTTTGTAGAAACTCCTTGCAGTTTAGTGGATCTGTCACCATGACAGCTGAGCCTGTCCTAGATGCCTACCAGCTGTTCTAGGAGATCTTTCCCTTGGCTGCACCAGGCTTCAAACATGGACCTATGCCACATGACTGATCTTCAGGTGCTCTAGATGACCACCTTGCAACTTCCAGATGACCCTGTCTTCTTCTGTAACTATTTCAAAAGTCCCCAACTAAATCTTCGAAATGCACGGAAGTAACTGCACATGCCCAAGCTCCTCCTCCTCTGTATCAGCAGAGCTCCCTTACAGTCCTTGGGTCAGTCTAGGGGGCCTCCCTCCAGTGATCTATTCTCCTGTTCTTCAACATAGGTCCCTGTAAAAGCCTCATTCAGGTGGTCCTTTGCCTACTAACAATTCCTCTCTTGGGTAGAGTGGAATGAGCTAGTAACACCAGAGCTATTAGCCTGAAGAGCTCCAGAAAGTGGCGGAGCAGCAAAAGAGCAAAGAGCAGCAGAGACCTGCAGTGACCCGTGAGAGCTCCAGAGGGGCAGTGGAAGCAGCTGGAAGACTCTAGAAAACCCCTCAGGGGACGGTGAGCCCTGGCTGTCGGGATACTGAAAGGGATGACTGAGAGACTCCAAGAGCCATAATACTAGGTGTGTAAAACTAAGAGCGAAGGGCCAAAGCTATAACGCTAGGAGCTGAGACACACTGCCTCTCAAAGCCTGGAGCTGCTAATATCAAGAAAGCTGCACCGCACCAATTGATGATTTCTATCTGAATTGAGCATAAAGGCCCCTCAGCTGATTGGTGACACCAGGAAAATAAGATTTTATATTTATTTCTAAAAATATTTTATATATGAGACAGCTAAGGCTATAGAAGTTTCTATGATTTTCTGAATGTCAATAGCTAATAATAATGAGAGTAGAATTAAACTCAGGCTGATTCTAAATTCCTGGTGTCATGCTACACAGTGGCATAGGAAACAGTTTCAGTAACCTGAGATTATCCAGAAATTTGCCTCTCAGTTCTTTGCTTCTAAATCAGTGTCTTCTTAGACAGGTAACTAGACATTATCTGAAATATTTGCTGAGTGTAGCAACGATATTGCACTCAACTCTCTGCACCTCTGGGGAAGCCATCAGCAGGGAGCAGTAGAGGAGGTGGGGAAGGGAAGCGAGGAGAGGCTGTGTCACATCATTTGCTGAGTTTTCAGCCTACATAGGACTGTACCTATTCTCCTTACCCTCTGCTGCCAGAAACAGACGGTGGGACAGATGGAGTCTTCTGCTCCAAAAGCGGCTCAGTGGGCCAGGTGGCTCCAAAAGTGCCAAGAGCTGTCCTCTAAGAGCTGGTTGGAGAAGGCCAGGGCATTCAGGACTTGGGCGAAAGTCTAAATATTACACAGTCAACCTTCTGTAGCTATGGGCTCTGCATTGGTACACTCAACCAATCATGTACTAAACATATTTTTAAAAATTGTGCATGTACTAAACATGTACAGATATTTTTCTTGTCATTGCTTCCTAAATAATATAATAAAACAACCATTTACATTACATTTATAGTGCATTGGGGTTTGTAAGCAATCAAGAGATTATTTAATGTGCACAGGAGGGTGTGCGTAGATTGTGCGCAAGTGCTATACCATTTTACTTAAGGAACTTGAGCATCTGTGGATTTTGATATTTCAGAGGGATGGAGTGAAACTGAAACCAGTCCTGTGAGGAGACCAACGACAGGTGTTATCACTTTATTATAAAAGGATTACATTTTCCCGGGCCCAGGTTGGCCCCCTGTGGGTTATTTTATGCAGTGCTGAGAGATAATTTAGTCTCTACTTACCTAGCATCTGCACTGCATGGCATTCAATCTCTTGCTTCATAAAAAAAAGAAAGATTCAGATGCCTCAGATAACAAAGGCTTATCCTCTGTGTCTGGTAATGGATGAAAACAAAAACAAAACAAAAGAAAACTGCACCCTATTCAAGGTCTGGCGAAAGTGGAGAAGTGAAGCTGGATTTATTAAATTACCTTTTGGCAAGCTTTGGCTTCTAGGTATGCCTCAGGCTCTACCCTGGAAATATGCCACCTTAAGTATGCACAGAGCTTCATGAAGAAATTACTCTTGCTGTCAGTAACATTTTGTATTTGGAAATTCTCCATTTCAAAAAGCATCAGCTTCCAAAAGTTCCGACTACTTTCTTAATCGCCTTTGCAACACAGTGGCTCCTTTCCTTTCTGTCCTGTTCTATGAAAGCAATTTGCTTTTTTTCTCTCTTTCTCCTTGATCGTGTGCAAGCACTATGGCATTAGCAGTTTTTTGGATGGTCTCGAGCTATATAAACAAACCCACCAAGACCTTTTAAACTTACTTGTTTCCTCTAGGAATGTGCTGAGGCTCCCACAGCTGCCTGCCTTGCCAGAGAATGAAGTGGTATGACGATGACTACATTGAATGGTGAATGGAAGATTCTGACACCAGGTACTGGCTAGCCAGCAAGGCATGGGCTTGTTCCATGGCAGCAGAAAATTATAGGCCAATAGCAAGGCTGCGAAATGGCTTGATTCAAACATAACCCAATCCTGAGGGCATCCAGCTCTGCTTCCACAGTGAGAGCCCAGAGCAGGGCCCTTTCTCTGCTGACACTACACAGTGCTCACAAAGCCTCCCCTTCGTCCAGGACGCAGACCTCCTACAGCCACACATAGAGAGGAAGAATAACGTACATTAGAAACTAAGCCAGGCACCTAAGGGACAATATTTAAATATGCTCATTTATCTACATTCTGAGCTTCTTTTATTCAGTCTCTTGGTAATGCGAATGTAACAGCAGGAGATATTTTTAGTTTCGTGCAGTGTGTGCTGAAATAGCCCCTGGCCGCTACATTTCATGGTCTGATTCCGTGTTAGCCTTTAATCCAATGAAGAGGAAGGATGCCAAATTACACATATATGGAGAGGACAGGAGTGGGGAACCCCATGACTGTGCTGATTAGGCAGGGCCTTATGGATGAGTGCTGGTAACTATCCCTAAAAGGAAATCATGTGTTCTCCCTCTATACTGGCCCCATGGTGCTCATATGCAAGTCTGAAGAGGGAAGTTTCATCATAGCAACAACCAGATACTGTGGCAGAACAGAGTATTCCTTATGATTTGTCATCTTTATGTTTTTAGTTTGGAAATATCTCTCTATTCTCTTAGGCTAATTTTATGTTGGGATATCTAAAAGGAAGTGCTTTGGGGTTACTGGGTAAGAGTGTTAAATACAAAGTATTAAATATTTATGAGATACAATCAGTATTCAACAAGAATGGTTGAATTTTTAATAGATTATTTTGTTATTTTTACAGTGTGAATTTACATTAACTCATACTGTAAAAAAAAAGAAAAGAAAAAGAAAAAATAGAGAAAAGACAAGACTCTAGATGTTCAGTTTACTACCACCTTATACCTCTGAACTCAAACTATTGAAGCAATTGGCTTTGTTATGAGTGTTACTGGATAAGCAAAGTTATCCTCACTTTTCCTTGGGGAAATGGTATATGCTAACCAGCTACTTCTAATCCATTCTGGAAACCAATAAAATAGAAATAACCTCAAATGGGCTGGGGATTTAGCTCAGTGGTTCCACTGCCTGCTACACA